AGGAAGCTGTCTTAGTTGTCGGCCAAGGCAACGGGATGATCAGAATGGAAGACCACAAAGACTGGGTGCAAGTCCTACGAAGAGGGCTAAGGGGCAGCGCAATTGGTGGCCTTTGGTGAACATGCTGGGAGACTTCGGGGCAAACAGAATAACAGTGCAAATGATCAGTAGCAGCAATGAGGCTCCAAGGGCATTCTACCCTTCTCTCTGTCCGTCTTTCTAGCTGACACACAGAGCACGGGAGGAGAGGGAATGCAGGCAAGTTCTTCCTTCGCTGGTATGTTTGCTGCACTTGGAGATGACCTTATAGGTTTCTTGGAGTCCATGATACCCCAGTGGGAATGTTTTTGGGAGGTGGCCTTCCTTATGGCTTGGCCATATATGACTCTTGGCACCTAGCATGCAGTGCTGGCTTCGTGCATACTCTCCTTGTTTCTGAAACCATCATTCCTACAAGAAAAAGTCTACCTGTCCTCTTGTTTAAGCTTTTTCATTCCTCAAGTATGGAGATTTTGTTTCGGTTAGGTTTGGTTTTCCTTGTCTTGGTTGGCTGAATTTCCTTGCCATTGGGTTTTGGTTCTCGTTGCTCACATGTACTTTTTTTTTTTTTCTCACACGTACTTTGTTCACATATGCCTAATGCCTTTGCTACTCAGAAAACCAGTGGCCACATAGACACTCATACGTCACGTAGACACTCATACGTCACGTTTTATTTTGCCCAATGCGGTGACTGTTCCTCGCCGCCGCCGGAGAATTAGGCAGGCTGCCCGCAGCTTGCCTTGACCGAGGAGGGGAAGTGTGTCACCCTTCACTCAGCCTTCCCCAAACCCGGGGGACAGTAAGGCGCGGTGTGGAGCCCAGTGGAAGCAGGTTCTCACTTTATTGTAAAAGGGAGGTGTATATATAGCTGAGGTACAGAGCGGATGGTACAGAGTAGATGAGGGATGCAGGCAAGGGCTGGGGTGTTGTGATGCAAAAGGGTCCTAGCCACTCCTATTATACCACCTTAAGATCCTTAGGCAGAAGAGGGTTTATCCCGGGGCTGAGGTGTTTGCTACCAGGGATTTGAAACTTAAAAGCCAGGTTTTCAAATTCGAGGCAGGCTCAGGAAGTTCCTCTAGGCCTCTCCGGATTCAGCGTCCCCCACAGCCCAATGCATTTTAGCCATTGCCATTGGTTTTCTACTCTACATGGCCCTCTCCTCATTCTGCAGGGAGTGGGCTCTCCTTTTGTGAACTGGCAGTTTCAATTTCAAAGCTGAGTGGTTTTAAGGATGCTGTTTCCCCGCCGAGAGAAGCTCACGTGTGCTGTGATTCCCAGTTGAGAATTTCCCACGTGGGGTCTACATACTTGAAGAAGAATTGGCTGATGTGAAATTTTTAGGTCAAACCCTCTTCCCCCTTGAACTTTAGATGTTGTCCTATTGTCTTCTGTCACTGAATGCTTTAGGAAAGTGAGATGTGTGTCAGATTTTTTTTTTCTTTTATAAATGTCTTACTTTTTCTGCCAAGGTACCCGAAGAGCCTTTTTCCTTCTTTTTTTAAAGTTGATAAATTAACAAGATGTGTTCAGTAAATTCCAACATTCCAAATCTACATTCTGTCAGTTTTTCCTGAAACATGGTGGGTTTTTTCTATTTGCATCATATGTTTTCACTCATTTCAAGGAAATTTGTTTCTACTACATTGTTGGCTGTTTTTCTGGTGTGGTCCCTGACTTACAATGCTTTAATTTATGACTCTCAACTTTAAGATTTTTTAACTTTACAGTGGTGCAAAAATGATGCAAATTCAGTAAAAATCATACTTTGATTTTAATCTTTTCCCAGGCTAGCGATATGTGGTAAGATACTCTCACAATGCTGCCAAGAGGCAATGAACTTCAGCCCCCAGTCACTGCTGACCACAGAGGTAGACAACCAGCACTCTACAGTGTACTGTGTTGCTAGCATGATGTCCAGCAGGCTGGGTGTGTTCAAATCACTTTCCACCTTCAATATTTCAACTTACAACTGGCTCCAAAGGCTGTAACTCCATTGTAAGTCAAGGAGCATCTGTGCTTTGCTGCACATTACTTACTTTATGTTACATTATCTTTATCTGTCATTTATATCTACCAATATTTTTATTTTTTTAAGATTTATTTATTTGTTTGAAAGGCAGAGTTACAGAGAGGCAGAGGCAGAGGTGGAGAGAGAGAGAGAGAGAGAGAGAGAGAGAGAGAGAGAGAGAGGTCTTCCATCTGCTGGTTCATTTCCCAGATGGCCACAACGGTCAGAATTGTGCCGATCCAAAGCCAGGAGCTTCTCCTAGGTCCTCCACATGGGTGCAGGGGCCCAAGGACTTGAGCCATCTTCCACTGCTTTCCCAGGCCATGGCAGAGAGATGGATCTGAAGTGGAGCAGCTGGGACTCAAAACTGGCACCCATATAGGATGCTGGCACTCGGGCAGTGGTTTTACCTGCTACCCCACAGCACCAGCCCCCTCTACAAATCTTTTTAAAGAGTTATTTATTTATTCAATGGACAAAGTGACAAGTTCACTCCCCAAATGTCTGCAATAACTGGGCCTGGGCCAAGCTAAAAACAGGATTCAGGAACTCCTTCCTGGTCTCCCACATGAGTGGCAGGGGCTGACGCACTTGGGCCATCTTCAGGCTCACAAGCAGGGAGCTGGATCAGAAGTGGGGCAGCCAGGACTTGAATCAGCACTCATGGGATGCTGGCACTGCAGGCGGTGGATTTTCTGGCTGCGCCCCAACACCAGCCCCAAAGCTTCTCTCCTGTGAACTGAAAAGCACAATCCTCAGAAGCTCCTAGCAGTGTTTCATACTAGCAGGCAGTTTCCCCCCTTCCCTAGCGGTTAGACTATTTCCACAATCACGCGGGGTCAGACTATTTCAGCCGTGAAGTCGTTTCTGGACGTGGTCTCCGTATACTCTGAGAGTAGACGTGGATGCTTTCAAACCAGACTTGGGAAGCAAAGAAAAAAATAAGTAAAATCAGACTTGGAAACTTTAATTTCGTCAGGAGCAAAGTGAATAAACTAAGAGCCTCGAAAGGAAACGTTTCTATTCCTCACGGCTTCCGTGAATATCTCCCTTTGGAAGGATGCTTGAAGGAGATGCATTTTAAATGCTTTGGAAAGAACCTCTGCAGTGTTTTCCCGGGTGCTGTGTTAAGGCCTGATTCGCTCTCTGGGATGGGAGAAGCAGGCTTAGAAGTGACCGCTCCGAGGGGCAGGGAGCAGGTGCTGTCGGATTCGCTTCGAAGGAGAGATTACTCCTCGCCCTTCCCCCGCGTGTGTTGTGTGTGTTTGGGGCTTGTGTCACTTGGCCCCCGACCCGGGCATCCTGTCACGTGCACTTGGTGTTTGGGAAAAGAGGCCCCCATCACAGTGTTCAGCCTGCTCTTGGCAATGAGAAAGCTGATGGAGACGGATAAAGAAAACCAGGGGTCGCGGTCCATTTTGTGCTGCCAACAGTAGGATACCACATTGTGGGATCATTTATAAAGCACAGATCTCTCTCTCTCTCTCTCTCTTTCTCTCTCTCGGCTGGGAAGTCCGAGATCAATGCATCTAGAGACACCCAACTCTTGCTGCCAAGCCCCTTTACAAGGACACCCTAATCCCATCCACCAGGGAGGAGCCCTCACAGCCTGCCCACTCCCAAGGCCCCCTCTGAATGCCACCACAGGGCAACCCCGGAATTCTGGAGGAGACACATCCACAGCACAGCATCCAAGGAGGCTGGCCTCACCCACCCCTACCATCTCAACTTCCGTGACTTGTGTCTTTAGCACCAAAGCCTACTTGATTTTCTATCTGCAGGTGTCTCAAACTCAGCTTGTCACAAACCAACTTCGATTTGGCCATGATCACACTCATCAAGCCGCCGCAGATGGCCGCTTTGCTCAGTGCCCAACACAAACTCAGGGACTGTCCCGGATCGTCCTTCCTCTTCACTTGCCCGCGTGCAGTCAGGACACAGTCGTATGAGTCTCCCGCTGACACCTCTCTCACATCTCTCTTTTCCTTCAGTATCCCCATCACCTGTCTCTTGTCTGAAAGGTCTGTATCCCAACCAGTCCCCACGGTGGATGGTGTTTAATCACAACACACGGACGTCTCCATTCCCCATGCTCCAATGCAAGGAGACCGTGCCACTGCCCCACCAGGAGGTGGAGTCTGCACCTGTGACCCGACTCAACCCCAGAAACGCAGTGTGGTTGTGGCTTCCAAGGCCAGACCTCGAGAGATCTACAGCTTCTTCCTTTGCCACTCGGAAGGCTCCCTCGTAGAAGCTGGCCTCCATGTAACAAGTCCAACCGCCCCACGTGAAGACTCCCAAGCAACCCCTCCCAGTGGAGACAGAAGGAGGAGCACCTAGATGCCAGGGAGCAAAACAGAGCCTTCATAACCCTTCAGCCCAGCCCAAGCTCCAGCTGACGACGGCCAGTGCCACACGGGGCAGAGCTGCCCAGTCCTGCCTAGCTCCTGATCCAGGCAAGGAAGGGGCGGGTGAAATGTCCTTGCTTTGGGATCTCTTACTACGGAGCAACGGGTTACTAAGCCAGTCCCTCTGCTTCTAGGCTCTCTCCGTGGACCTGTGCCACCTGTGCTGTTTTCTTGAACTCTGGGGGTACCATCCCACTGCCTTTCCTGTAGAATCGGCGCCAGGCCCTTAGCCCTTGGCTGAAAAGCCTTTTCTACCAATCCGCTTGCCACGCATCCAACCTCCGCTTTTGCTGCTCCCTCTCTCCTGTTTCCCCCACACCCTCATCTCCCTACGCATCGTGCCGCATGATCCTGTATCCCTGGGGTGCTCTTCCTTCATCAAACCACACCTGTGAAACCTCGCAGGACCCATAACTGTCACCTACCCAGCCCCACTGCTAGGGTTTCTTGTCTGTGCCCCCTCCCAGACCAGACTGCACATTGGAATCCATCACCAGGGCAGATCATTAAAAATATGCATCTCTCAAATGCTTTCCAACCTGCAAGTCTGGATTTCTGAAGCAGTCTTGGAGTTGCAGACACAGACCAGAGGAGACCAGTATGGAGGCGTGGCCTCGTAGGGTCACTGTTTGCCACGTTGTTGCCTGGAGTTCCAAGAGAAAGAGCAAAGTTTAACCACCTCTGGGCTGCTGGCTCCAGCCTCCTCCCGTATTGAACGCAGGAGGTCTGGGATGCAGCGTCAGAGAGACCAGGAGGTCTCTGCCCTCCTCCAGGGAAGCAGAAAGCCACAGAAGCCACAAGAGAGGCCCTGGCTCTTGTGTGCACCAGCTGCAGCCAGCCCGGCACCTCCCACCCTGCCACTCCACCGTCTGCTTCCAGACTTGGCCCTTCCGTGAGCTCCTGCAGGACAGAGGCTGTGTCTCATTCACCTCTATCCCAGGGCCTACAACAGAGCAACAACACCTGAAAACCAAGGGGATGCATACATGACTCTTATAAGCCAAGAGGAAACAGACCGGTCCCAACAGACTGTCCTCCTCTAGTTGTTTTTTTTTTGGACAGGCAAAGTGGACAGTGAGAGAGAGAGAGAGAGAGAGAGAGAGAGAAAGGTCTTCCTTTGCCATTGGTTCACCCTCCAATGGCTGCCGTGGCCGGTGCACTGCACTGATCCGAAGGCAGGAGCCAGGTGCTTCTCCTGGTCTCCCATGGGGTGCAGGGCCCAAGTACTTGGGCCATCCTCCACTGCACTCCTGGGCCACAGCAGAGAGCTGGCCTGGAAGAGGAGCAACCAGGACAGAATCCAGCACCCCGACCAGGACTAGAACCTGGTGTGCCAGCGCCGCAGGTGGAGGATTAGCCTATTGAGCCACGGCGCTCACCCTCTAGTTGGTTTTATGCCATATTCTCACGCCTGGTCTTGGTAACACTGGTTATAGGCCGCCCTCAGGACCTGACCTCTGGTACCTCTTCCAGTTCCAGTAGTGTGGGCTACCAGTCACACATCTCCCTGCAGGGAGAGACTCATTTGTTTATGTTTGCATGTTGAAGGCTTGTCCTCAGCGTGGTGCTGTCGGGAGGTGGTGGAGCCTACAGGAGGAGGGGCCTACGGAGAATCTTTCGGTGAGTAGGGATACCCGGTTGGAAGGTAGTCCTCATGAGAGCATTGTATAAGGGGCCAAGTTTGGCCCCACCCACTCTGTCTGCATCCTGGCTCACCACATGGTCCCTCTCTGCACACGCGCCACCACCACCCACCCAGCAGCGCTCCGCTGAGGCCACCTCAAACCCTTCAGACTTCCAGCTTCCAAACAACCTCTCTCGGCTTCCTAAGTAGCTTCATTACAGCAGCACAAAGCTGACTGACATAGTCGCCTGTGCACGCTTGCTCAGTTTCCACTGTTCAACATCCCTGTACCCGAGAGTGGTGCCCAGGACTGCATCCGAGAGGCTGGGTCCCACACTGAGCAGGCAACCTTTAGCTAAGTGCCCGAAAGGACGGTTACCGACGTATGAGCGATGGAATGAGGACTAGAAACATTGACCTATTGGATGAGAAATAGGAACACTAGGGGACTTCTGAAGTAGTGGGGAAACAGAAAGAAAAGGTAATTTTTAAAAGGTTTATTCAATTAGAAAGAGAGCGAGAGAGCGAGAGAGAGAGCACTTCCGTCTGTTGGTTCACTCCCCAAATGTCTGCATCAGCTGGGGCTAGACCAGGCCAGAGCTGGCAGCCTCAATCCCATCTGGGTCTCTACCATGGGCGGCAGAGGCCCAAGCACTGCTCTCCCAGGTGCATCAGCAGGGAGCTGATTTGGAAGTGGAGCGGCCAGGACTTGAACAGGCAGCCCCCAATGGGAAGCTTAACCCACTGCACCACCACACTGACCCCAGTACAAGTTTATTTTCGTGCAAAAAAAAATTTGCAATCCAGGCATAGTTGTTTTTATAATATGCATTTTCTGTGAATGTTTTAAAGATGCCTCATATGAATAGATTCCAATTGTTTCTTTTTTGGCACCAAAATAAACTTATCTTTGGATTTCATTTCCCATGAACCTCTTGACGTACCTCGCACTCCTTTTGGCACAAAATACCCAAAAGGCGGTTAAACCGGCATCAAGGGACTGGCACGATCTGCTGCCTGGAGTCGGATTTCCTCTGCCGTTCACCATCTTTACAGATTTTCTATTGGGAAAAAAAAAAAGTGCTTTTCTCTGAAATTTCTTCCTGGAGAACGATAGAGCTTTCAATTGCACTGAATCTTCAGAGGCAGCCCTAGAGCGAGCTAAGTTAAGAACCGAAGGAGCCCCTTAGGCCTCCAAGGGCCCCGAGAGACCCTCCTATGCCAGATGAGGAGCAAACATCACCTCCCCCTCCCCTTCATTCAAAGCTGTGGGTCTGCCGTGAACTTGGTGTTGGTGCTGATGGCAAGCAGCCTGCCGGCCGGCCCACACCCAACTTCAACACCGCCCAGAGCCTTCCTCTGCTGCTCTGCAACCGGGTCTCCCAGGCGCCCCTGCCGTGTGGGACGGCCTTGACCAGCACCTGCAGGGGCGGCTCACTCTCTCTCGGATGCCTGCTTTCCCCAGCGCTGAGTCGCGCACCCCAGATGCTTGTCCTGATGCAGCACAGGGGACCTGGCCCCCCCGACACTTCCATTCCTCCTGAGGCACAGGCTTGACTTGAGTAATTTGGTTTCCATCGCATTGCATTTATTCAAAATGTGCTTCTGGGAGAAGGAGGTGGTAAAGGCGCCATTTGCATCACCGCATCCCATATCGGAGTGCCTGGCGCCACTCCTGACGCCAGCCTGGGAGGCAGCCCCTGCCACCCCCATGGGACCCCTGATGGAGCACCTGCTGGGCTCCTGGCTTCAGCCTGGCCCAGCCCCGCCAGTTGAGAGCATTTGTGGGTGTGCCCTTTTCTTTTGGTCTGTGTCTGTCTCCCTTGCTGTCTGTCTGCCTTTCAAATAAAATGAAAATAAATTTTGAGTGTTTTAAAGTATGCTTTTGCGACCCTGTCACACGTTGAACACAGTTCTGAGTCCCTCAGTGCAGAGGGGACAGGGTGTGCCGGGTACTCCATTGAGGGAGGGCTGATGGAACGCAGAAGTCTGCATCCACGGAGCCAGGTGAGCCTGCAGGCAGGCAGTGGGCCCGGCTGGCCCGGGGCGCGGCAGCAGAGCCGGCGGCCAGGAGCTGTGGACACGGGGCCTCCTGGAGAGGGGTGCTGGGCGCGGACGGGCCTCCAAGACCCGCTGGGAGACGATGTGCCCGTCTCTGGAACAGAGGGCCTGCCAGGGAGGAAGAACGGGTTCCGGGCTCTGGGCCAAGTTCACGGGAGGCTGGCCAGCCACCGACGCTGTGGGGTGCTTTGGAAGATCCAGCCTGCACGTGGAAGGGCCACATGAGGTGCACGGGGTCAGACGACAGCAGGAGAATTAGAGCAACTGTTGAGCAAGGGAAATATTCAGACGGCGCATGGGGAGCCAAGAGAGAACTGGGGGGGTCCCCCAGGAAGGCTCCAGCCCCCACCCCTGGCTGCCTCCTTGTGGGAGCTGCTCAGAGACCAGGCTCAGCCACCCCCACCCCCAGGGTCCTCTCCGTGTCCCTTCAGGCGAGTGGGGCAGCCCACCCAGGGAAGGGCTGGCGTAAGAGTGGGGAAAACACCCCCTTTTCAAATACTCGGTCTTTTCCACCTCCTATTAACAAAACAGAACGTCGCGTCAGCTTCCAGACAGATTCGTTGTGTAGTTTTCTCTGTCATTTATTCTCTCAGGAAAGTTTGATTGGGCTGTGCCAAAAAATTAATGGAGTTATTTCTCATCTTAACATTGGACTCTTGCTTCATTATCCCACGATGCGGAAAGCCAATGTCGGCTGCAGGCACACATCTCCACCCACACCCGCGCTCCAAGGAGGGGACGACCAAGCCACATTTCTTTCGTCCTTTTACGTGTGCGTAGTGCTGTCCAATTAGAAATTCAGCAAAGAGACACAGCATATTGATTTATGACCTTGTTTTTATAACATTATAAAATGGATAAATTACATTAGTGCTGCATCATTTTAATCCCGACTTGACTGATTTTATTATCTATCCTACAAGATGAATTCCATAATTTTTTTTTTGGCCAGTGGTATTTATAACAGTCTTTGAAATGCCTATTAGTATGTTTGAACGGGGAAAAAATTAGATTTTTATCTTAACAGAAACTAAGAATGATTTGGCAGATTGGCTTTACAATGAGGACTGACTTTGCCAATTAAATTATATGATAGGTATTTCATGTATATTTAATAAACCAAACTTTCAATTCCAAGAGTTTAATGAAAATATATTCATATTCAAAGCACTTAATAATAAAAAGCACTGTAACAAAAATATTGTCTCATTGATAGTGAAATGAAAGAACATATTGATTTTCAAAATAATATCATATTGATTATAATAACAATCTTAAAAATGTATCTTATTAGGGGCCAGCACCATGGCACAGTAGCTTAATCCTCTGCCTGTGGCGCCGGCATCCCATATGGGTGCCAGTTCTAGTCCCGGCTGCTCCACTTCTGATCAAGCTCTCTGCTATGGCCTGGGAAAGCAGCAGAAGATGGCCCAAGTCCTTGGGCCCCTTCATCTGCATGGGAGACCCAGAAGAAGCTCCTGGCTCCTGGCTTCAGATCGGCCCAGCTCTGGCCATTGCAGCCATCTGGGGAGTGAACCAGCGGATGGAGGACCTTTTTCTCTGTTTTTCCCTCTCTCTGTCTGTAACTCTACCTCTCAAATAAATAAAAGTACCTGCTCTCAGGTACTTATACTACAGCTTTAAAGCGCCAGTCTTACTGAACCAATGCATTTGGAATTTTTCAAGTCCAAAGCAACATAGAAACAAAATGAAACTTCATCATAAGCTCACTCAGGTTGAACCGATCAAGACAGTTTTACATAATGTTTTGCTGTTGTTTTATTTAAAATACTTTGTTCATCAAAGAGAAATTAAAAAAATGAAACAGAAGCTGCACAACTTTTACTGACATTAAAAAAGAAAAAACAGGGGTCAGCATTGGAGTACAGCAGGTTAAAATGTGGGCTGGAGGGTGATATCCCATATGGGAGTACAGGTTCAAGTCCCGGCTACTCCACTTCCAATCCAGCTTCCTGCTAATGTGCACCCAGGAGGTGGCAGAAGATAACTTAGATGCTTGGGCTCCTGCCACCCATGTGGGAAACCCAGATGGAGTTCCAGGCTCCTGGCTTCAGCCTGGCTGTTGTGGGCATTTGGGGAGCGAACCAGTGGGTGGAAGATACATATCGCTCTCTCTGCCTTTTAAGTAGATGAAAATAAATAGATAAATATTTTAAAAATAGAAGCAACACAGATAAAAGAACAAAGTGACAAGGTCCAGACTAGGAGAAAAGATTTATACAGCATGCAAGTCATCAGGGTCTTCTATCCAGAATACATAAAGAGCTTTTAAAGCCCAACATTAAAAAATCTGAATAACAAATAAATAAATAAATGAATAAAATTAAAAAGAAATCTAAACAAAGTTAGGGGTTTAGGCAGTCAAATGTACAAATTTTGATTTCTTAAGTTTTTTTTTGATGATTTAATTATTTATTTGAGAGGCAGAGTTTCAGAAAGAGAGAGGCTGAGACAGAGAGAGAGGTCTTCCATTTGCTGTTTCACTTCCCAAATGGTCGCAACTGGCTGGAGTTGAGCCGATCCGAAGCCAGCCGCCAGGAGCTTCTATGGGTCTCCTACGTGGGTGCAGGGGCCCAAGCACTTGGGCCATCTTCTACTGCTTTCCCAGGCCATAGCAGAGAGCTGGATCAGAAGTGGAGCAGCTGGGACTCAAAACTGGCACCCATATGGGATGCCAGTGCCACAGGCAGAGGCTTAGCCCACTACGTCATAGTGTAGCCCCCCCTCCATTTCTTAAGTTTTGACAGATGTCCCATGTGATGAACTATGTCAACAGTAGAAGAAACTGGGAAGCATTATGTGACAAGTTGTGGTAGAATGAGAAGGCCATGCCAAGATGGCTGCTGTCAACGGAGCCTGCCTGGCAACAGGCTGTGATTGGTTAGAGCATGAACCGCCCCTTGACCGGATTGGCTGCTTCGGCTATATAAACTGCTGTACCAACTGAAATAAATGAGTCTGTGGGCTGCTCACCTCTGGCCTGCTTTCACCCAACTCCCGGGGTCTGTGTGGTGACTCTGCGCCTCTTGCCCCCACCGCGTTCCTCCTCTCAGAACGAATCCACAGCAATAAGTCTCTGCAGAATTTCTGCAACTTCTCTGCAAATCTCAAATTGTGAAGTTTAAGAAAATGCAACCAAAATGAAAATAAACAACCGAATCAAAAAAAAAAAAAAAGACAAAACACTTGAATAAACACTTCACCAAAGACAGTATGACAATGTTGAACACGCTGAAAGATGCTAAAGATATGAGTCAAAATGGCAAAATAGGAACCTCTAAATATTCTCTTCTCCATAGAAGTCACAAGAATCTGGGCCAAAATTGCCTAAAGCAGTTGAGAGTCTACACTCAACAATAAAAAGACAACTCAGTTGAAATAACAGGTGCAGTGGGTATTCAGCCTGGCACTCAAACGGCCGCACAGGACACCACATTCCACATCACAGTGCCTGGGTCCAGTGCTGGCCTGGGGGCCTCCAGATTCCAGCTCCCTGCTAATGCAAACCTGGGGGTGGCAGGGATGGCCCAAGACGTGGGTTCCTGCCACTCACATGAGACCTGGCTGGAGTGCCAGGCTCCTGGCCCAGTCCATGCCATTTTGGGTTTTTGGGGAGTAAACTAGCTTTTTTTTAAAAAAAAGATTTATTTATTTACTTGAAAGAGTTACACAGAGAGACAAGGAGAGGCAGAGAGGGAGAATTGGTTGCAATGGCCGGAGCTGTGCCGATCCAAAGCCGGGAGCCAGGAGCTTCCTTCGGGTCTCCCATGCAGTTGCAGGGGCCCAAGGACTTGGTCCATCTTCTCCTGCTTTCCCAGGCCACAGCAGAGAGCTTGATCAGAAGTGGAGCAGCCGGGATTCAAACCGGTGCCCATATGGGATGCCGACACTGAAGGCGGCGGCTTTACCTGCTACACCACAGCACCGGCCCCCTAAACTAGCTTTGATTAAATAAAAATATATGTCCACACAAAAACCTTTAATAGACACCATAGGACCAGAAGGTGGCTAAAACCACATAATTTCCTGAGTTTGTTCACCCGCCCACACCAAATGGAGTGAGGGGAAAGTGGCTGGGACAGCAGGTGCAGAACACGGCTCACGCAGGAGCAGGCACACTTGCTCTGGATTCCTAATTATTAGAGTGTTTTAATAAGCAAAGAACCTACTATGTTCACGATGCCCTTCAGTTTTACCCTGCTAGAATTCCCAGCAGGTGAGCGCTGGACAACCTTCTGTTTGTTTCTCTCTCATTCCTCTTAACTTTCTCGAGTTTTCTACCTCTCCATGTCCTTAAGCTCCGCTCAAAGGCTTCCTCATCCATCTCTTCCAGTTCACCCACTCTCTTGTCAGCTGAGACGGATCTGTCTCATCCATCAGCCGAGTTTTAACTTCAAACTGTACGGGTTTTTTAAAAAATTATTTTTATAGCAGCCCGTTCCGTTGGAAAGTCACATTTCCTGACTTATTTCTTAAGTGCCTTAAATAGATGAGGATACTTGGGGAAGTCCATGGGCGATGGAAAGCACAGATAATGTGCATTTTTCCAGGAATATTTTGCGGCACCTTCATACCCACTGGAGAATTTTATCATGCAGCACGTTCCTCCCTTTTGTGGGATGCACATTCTTACCTGTGTCTGCTGGCACTCTCTTACCGTGATTAATTTCCTTGTGCAGTTTCCGATGCTTGGATCCTGGGTTCAGCCACCAGAGGACAGGAGTGGAAAACTTTCCTGCAAAGCAGGTTCCGGTTTTGCTTCTGCCGAGGCCCGGAGGAGGCGTACCATATCCCCACCCGGAGGAGGCGTACCATATCCCCACCCGGAGGAGGCGTACCATATCCCCACCCGGAGGAGGCGTACCATATCCCTACCCGGAGAAGGCGTACCATATCCCCACCTGGAGGAGGCGTACCATGTCCCCACCTGGAGGAGGCGTACCATGTCCCCATCGGCGCGTGTGAGAATCCCTCGCCTCGCGTTTGCTGTGCCGTGTGCATGCGGTGTGTTGAGCTCCGCTACTCGGCCCCGGCACAGGCGTGGGTTTCAGGCTCCCCGGGGTGAGTGGGCCTGCCCTGCGAGCCTTGAGCAGAGTATCTCAGTTGCTCTATGTCCCTCTCACAGCGTGCTGCCGGGAACCACGAAGACTCTTCCAGGGCAGCTACCCAAGAGAGAGTCCACTCCTGGGCTTTGTGTCGGCCACCTGGATTTGATTCCTCCATTCATCATAAAGACTATTGGGACTGTAGGCCCTGTCCTCCCGTTTCTATTTCTTTCCTTCCTCTCTCCCAATCCTGCACCCCACGGAGTGTTCCTAACACCAGGAATTACGTGTCTCGGGGAGAGGGGCCGGTGCCGCCACACCGTGGGGATCAGCACTTCATGCTAAGCGTCTTATCCGATAATGGCAGCAGGCAGGGTTCACCACTCCCTTTCCCCTTCCCTCTTTTTCCTTAATGCAAAGAGTGTGCAACCTCATTCTTTCCAGGAGACTGAAGCAGCACAAGACGACACAGTTTAACATTTCCGCCTACCGCCCTCCAGAGAGAACAGCCTTCCCGGTGCGCTGGGTTCTTCTCTTCCATAGCCTTCTCTGCTCATCTGCATGTGCGCATCTGTAAATAAGAACACATTTTCACTAAAGTGGACTCTTACCCGAATTGCTGTCCTGCAACCTGTTTTCTTAGTAATATTCTGAAACTGGGGGTTAAGCTGCTGCTTGCAACCCTGCTGTGTCATCGCAGAGCACCAGTTTGAGTCCCGGCTGCTCTACTTCGGATTCAACTCCCTGGGAAAGCAGCAGCCGATGGCCTAAGTGACTGGGCTCCTGCCACCCCCGTGGGAGACCCTGATGGGGTACAGGGCTCCTGGCTTCAGCCTGGACCAGTAGTATCTGTTGTGGTTATTTGAGGAGTGAACCAGCAAAAGGAAGATCTCTTCCTCTCTCTGTCTCTCCATCTGTCTCTGTCACTCTGCCTTTTGCATAAACAAATATTTTTTTAAAAAGTAATATCCTGGCCGGCGCCGTGGCTCACTAGGCTAACCCTCCGCCTGCAGCACCGGTACTCCAGGTTCCAGTCCCGGTTGGGGCGCCGGTTCTGTCCTGGTTGCTCCTCTTCCAGTCCAGCTCTCTGCTGTGGCCCGGGAGGCAGTGGAGGATGGCCCAAGTGCTTGGGCACTGCACCTGCATGGGAGACCAGGAGGAAGCACCTGGCTCCTGGCTTCGGATTGGCACAGCGCGCAGGCCGTAGCGGCCTTTTGCGGGGTGAACCAGCGGAAGGAAGACCTTTCTCTCTGTTTCTCTCTCTCACTGTCTAACTCTGCCTGTCAAAAAAAAGTAATATCCTGAGATTGTGCTGAGTCATTGCACATCAGCCTACCCTTCTGTTGTAACTGCTCCGTGTTAACAACAGCTGAAGTCACTGTATTAGGGATCTATTCAACAATGCGTTTTAATTATTATTCTACTTAATCTTTACACTAACCAGGTGAGATGCATAAAATTATTGTGGGTCTTCTAGGTGAGAAAAATCGAGAACGTGAAGTGATTTCCCCAAAGACGTGGCTGGGAGGTGATAGAACTGTGACTCAGTCCCAGGTACTGGGGCATCCCACTGCACGCGTTGTAACCCCTAGTCTCCATCTCTTCACGATGTAAATGCTCAGCATATATTTCAATGGTTTCCTATTGAAGAGCTTGCAGATTGACTCTCGTTTCTCAGCATTGTGAACGGTGCTGCAATTAGCACCCTTCTACATGTAATCAAGGCTATCCATCTTGCCGCTCCCAGCGTCTGGGTGTGTGTCTTGTGTGGGAGGGGCTCTCTATCCCTGGGTTATAAATAACCATTTCATCTTCTTCTGTAACATCAACGGCTTGACGTGATTCATTTAACACTTGCGTCCCTTTTTGAATTTATTTTGATGTATGGCATTAGTTAGACGTTTAATTTGATTGTCTTCCATATGGATAGTGCATTGTCCCAACACTGTTTTGAACCGTCTATCTTTTTTTTTTTTTTAGTTAAGGAAGTATCTCCCAATAAAATCTTTTAAGACTTGAAAACCGCTTACATCGGCACATTAAGATCTACCCATGCTTAATCAACTGTTAAGGAATATAAACACATAAAGAGGCTCATTAAGTATACAGGATCAATCCAGGTTACAGGATGGGGAAAACGAAGCAGGGAGCCAGGAAATTGTCCCCTTCTCTCAGCTGCACTGAATAATGGATGTATCATACGGGAACATTTTACATTAGCTCAAGTCCTGACTCTGGTCTTCAACAAAAATGGGTCTTGACAAGAATCCTCTAACTGGAAAAACAAAATGAAAAGAGACCACACACTTTCCATGGGCTTTTTTAAAATGAGATTTATGTTATTTATTTGAAAGACAGAATCACAGAGAGAGAGAGAGAGAGAGAGAGAGAGAGGGAGAGAAAGAGAGATCTTCCATCCTCTGGTTCACTCCCCAGATGCGCCGATCCAAAGCCAGGAGCTTCCTCTGGGTCTCCCACATGGGTGCAGGGACCCAAGGACTTGGGCCATCTTCTACTGCTTTCCCAGGCCATAGCAGGGAGCTGGATCGGAAGTGGAGCAGCCAGGACTCGAACCAGCGCCCATACGGGATGCCAGTGCTTCAGACCAGGGCTTTAACCCACTGCGCCACAGCATTGGCCTCTTTCCATGGCCTCTTGAAGACCCTCTGCCTCTGTTTTCTCACCCATAAAGGGGGATGAGAGACCCTTGTCTCAGGAAGCTGCTGTGAGAGTGAGTGCACCTGCACCGAGGGGTCCCTCATTCAGCGGGGAAGCCCTGGTTTCCTTGTTTTTGCTGAAGAACAAAAGTGTCTCCAAAGACGACCTTGGTGTAACCCCTGGAAGTCCTCAGGGGATGGAGCGACCATCACCAGGCGAGAGTCTTCGCTCTCCTGAGTCACTGTTCAATGCTCTCGGCTGGACCTCGGCTTCCAAGGTCAGCGTTTTTGGAAGTAGGTGTAAAGACTGCATTTTTTGAGTTCTTGGAAAAAAGAAAGCAATTGAGTTCCTCTTCTTTTGTGTTTGGGGCTCATCGCCAGCAGGGAAAACACTGGATTGTTGAAAGGCAAACTCCCGCTCCCTGCTGGCCCCACCCATCCCCTTGTCCGCCGTGTCCACCTCGTCTTTCTACACCACCACCTTTGACAACCCATCTGACCTCCCACAGCAGAGAAGATAAAAGTCATATTTCCCTAGCACCTGCTGCCGATCTCACCGGAACCCGCCCACCCTACATTCAGCCGTTCTCCCTTTCGTCAGTCCTTCTTTGCCTGGGCTGGACTCTGGGCCCCTCCCAGTCTCCCCTGCAACACCGGCATCCCACGCGGGCTCCAGTCCAAGCCCCGGCTGCTCCATGTCGGATCCAGCTCCCCGCTAATGCGCCTGGGAAAGGCAGCTTTTTTTAACCTTTACTTCCAGTGCTCCGAGCCCTTTTGTAAAATTCAAGGGTTCACATCCTCGGCTGCATATGGGAGTGACCAAGGAAACCCTGCAGAGGGTCTGACGTCATTGCTCTGCCGTGGGACCCGGGCGGAAATTTTGGAAGCATCTGTAAGCAATCTGAATGCACAGTGAGGGCTGAGAACCGCTGGGTGAGTTCTGCCCGAAGGTGCCGTCCCCGTGGTCACCCTTCAGAAACTTCAAAATGGCTTTCTGATGGCGAAAGGGGGGTTGAAGAATACGAAACAAGCTCCTTTCACATGCGTAAGCAAAACTGAAATATGCTTAGGCATGGAAAATGCTAAAATTCATAGCAAAACTGTCCAACAGTTGAATTAAGAATACACCAAAAAAAAAAAAATGAGCTTTTGAGGAACGCTTTGTGTTCAACAAAGATCTTAGGAGTTCTATTTCTGAATTATTATGTCCCTTACAAGTTGTTACTACATGAAGATAAGCTATAAACCTATTTTAATGATCCTGCCACCGTAGAAACGTAAATTTATTAGAGAGAAATTGCACTTGGAGGCTGAAGTAGTTTCATTAAAATATTGCCAAGGGTGGAAAATTTTGATCTTTGGTTGCGGATGTAGCCTCTAGAATCCATAAAGCCAAGTGGGCTGGTAGTTAACAAAGTGAGATGCGCCCATTGTGGGTTCTATGGGATCCTACTAACAACCACAGCCCCCAGAAACTATGGCTCTGCCCAGTCTAAGACGTGAGCCCAGTGATGGACCTGAATACAAGCTTAGGGCAGATCACGTGGCCTTGAAGGCCGTCCCTTGGAGGAGAGCAGTGATGACCCAACTTGTCCCAAATGCACAGTGTCCATGTAACAGGTTTGTTACAGAGTTCTCCTTAGAGGAGGGACCATAGCAAAGTCAAGGAGGCAGCCGCTCTGTGTGTGACATCTTCACACGGAGGCGCCCACTACAGGGGACTGCCCAACATATGGTCTGACCTGTAGCCATGCAGGTCATGGGCACGTGAGAATGTAGCTGACTCTTTTTTTTTTTTTTTTTTACAGGCAGAGTTAGTGAGAGAAAGAAGAGAAACAGAGAAAAAGGTCTTCCTTCTGTTGGTTCACCCCTCAAATGGCCGCTACGGCTGGCATGCTGCAACGAACTGAAGCCAGGAGCCAGGTGCTTCCTCCTGGTCTCCCTGCAGGTGCAGGGCCCAAGCACCTGGGCCATCCTCCACTGCACTCCCGGGCCACAGCAGAGAGCTGGACTGGAAGAGGAGCAACCGGGACTAGAACCGGCCCCCAACCGGGACTAGAACCCTGGGTGCCAGCGCCGCAGGCAGAGGATTAGCCTAGTGAGCCGCGGTGCCGGCCCATGCAGCAGACTCTCAAGACTGGACTCCCATTGGCCAAAGTAGTGAGGATGATGGACAGCACTGGAGTCCCAGCCCCCTAAGCACACAGAGGAGTGCAGCTGCAGGGGGCAGCAGCCTCGGCTCACTGTAACCAGCGCTCCCCCCCCACCAGAAAGCAGGCCTGGGTGGGAAGCTGGTCAGAGCAGGGGCTCACGTGCAGGTGAGTGAGGCTGGACCTCGGCAGCAGCCAGTGCGCAAGCCTCGGGACGGGAGAGCTCGCGGTGGGAGGGCAGCGCTCAGAGGCCAGAGGTCAGGATGGCTGCTGCCCGGTTCCTGGGAGGCAATGGCGCCTCCAGCTGTGGCTCAGTGGCTGACCAGCCTCTCTTCTCACTGACGTACTGTTTCGTCTTCTACGTGAATACATTCAACCACGTTGCACCGGGTCTTTCGAGCCGTAAAACTTGTCTTTCTTTTCAAGATCAGTCTGTACTGTTTGCTCTGATTCACGAAGCATGGGCCTTCATGTCGGGCTCCTGGCGATGTACCAGGTCCATTATGGGCTTCTTTTAAAGATTGGTTTGAAAAACAAAGAGAGAGATAGAGAAGAGAGAGAGACTGAGGGAGATCTTCCATCCACTGGTCCACTTTCCAAATGGCCACAATGGCCAGGCTGGTCCAGGCTGGTTCAGGGCCCAGGAATTCCATCTTTGTCCCACACATAGGTGGCAGAGACTCCAAGTACTCGGGGCATCATCTTCTGCCTCCCCAGGTGCACTAGTGGGGAGCTGACTAAGAGGCGGAGTAAGCGTGCTTAGA